CTCATTACCCTATAAGGTTAATACAATCTTATTCACCCAAGTGAGAAAACACGTGTATATATCCAAAACGCATACACATGTGATATATTGTGCAAAACCATGCAAGTGAGACACTCTGCCGTGCTACAAACTCCTAGCACAGTGCACACTTCTATTGGGGTAAGGAATAAATACCCTTACCAATATTTAAGATAATATATGCTTTATTATCTTAATCCTCAGAGAATTTCTCTGGTGGTGTAGCTCTTTGTATGGATATCCTCCGGATTAGCTTTATAAGGATCCTTCCACCCTAGCAGCCTGGAGATGCTTTCACCAAACACATCAGCCCGATTTCCATATATAAGGAACAGATCATAGCATAATACTGCCACATACTTTGATCAAAAACTTTTAATTATCTTGCTTACATTTAAAATCATCTTTAACCGCACATAATAAAAAACCTGTCTGCCATCCGGAATCCAGGAGAGTCCCAATCGTAACTCACAGCCGAGATTTTGCCCTCTCCAAGATGGCCGCCACTCTACTTCCGGAATATTCGTATGCGTCTGACGTCACCTCCCTTTGACGCGTTTCGTCATTGGACCCTTTATGATTACGTCCAATGACGAAACGCGTCAAAGGGAGGTGACGTCAGACGCATACGAATATTCCAGAAGTAGAGTGGCGGCCATCTTGGAGAGGGCAAAATCTCGGCTGTGAGTTACGATTGGGACTCTCCTGGATTCCGGATGGCAGACAGGTTTTTTATTATGTGCGGTTAAAGATGATTTTAAATGTAAGCAAGATAATTAAAAGTTTTTGATCAAAGTATGTGGCAGTATTATGCTATGATCTGTTCCTTATATATGGAAATCGGGCTGATGTGTTTGGTGAAAGCATCTCCAGGCTGCTAGGGTGGAAGGATCCTTATAAAGCTAATCCGGAGGATATCCATACAAAGAGCTACACCACCAGAGAAATTCTCTGAGGATTAAGATAATAAAGCATATATTATCTTAAATATTGGTAAGGGTATTTATTCCTTACCCCAATAGAAGTGTGCACTGTGCTAGGAGTTTGTAGCACGGCAGAGTGTCTCACTTGCATGGTTTTGCACAATATATCACATGTGTATGCGTTTTGGATATATACACGTGTTTTCTCACTTGGGTGAATAAGATTGTATTAACCTTATAGGGTAATGAGATTTTTATAAAGGATAATGCACTATGTGAATTTTTTTGTTTTTTTGAGGTAATCAAGGTTTACAAGCAGTGAAGAGTTTTCGTTGGTTGATATTGGAAACTATTTTTCGGACTACACGTATTTGCTTTATGAGTCACTAGTACTGTCTGTGGTCTCCCTGCCTCCAGTGGAGATTTTAGGCGGCTGTGCCAATTCTTATTGTCCGGGCACATTCCACTGTTGCTTGCTTGGAATCTGTTTATTAGTATTGCCTGGGAAGATGCCCTGATATGCTAACTAATTTCCTTCTTTGAGAGGCACAGTTAACGCTTTTGGTTGGTAGCTCTTAATCTTAGCTGTCATTTATAAGTCCAGTCCTCAATGACAAATCAAATTGTTCCCCAACCATGTGATCACTATGTCAGCTACGTATGTAGCTTAGTGAATTTGATCTGAAGCCCACTTTCTGTCTACAAGCATGCACTTTGTGAGAGCTGCATTTTCCCATTAAGGCTGAGAGACTGTGTTGATGGGCTTTGGGATCATGGTGATGGGCAAATGTAAGGCTTCTGAGTTTATTCAGAACTCACTGAAGAAGCATTTGATCTGCAGTTGGCCTCCTTCTAACCAATTGCTTTCGGTATTGCCAAATAGTTGAATTGTAGAGAAGCAGTTATATCATAAACCAAAGGCCATCAATACAAGCCCCTGTTTCCCACTCTGTCTGCAGACACCACCATTTTGCTAGAGGAGCAAGGTCTTGCTTCCTCAAATTCTTCCCCCCTGATGAATGGATATCTAATGAATAGTGAGGTAAAGTATAAAAAGCAGCAGGAGAAAAAAGCAGATGTGGAAGAAGCACAGATCACACAGTGAATGAAGCAGAAGCAGGAAAATCCTTGCAATGTAGGTCCTCAGGTAGAACTTACTCTCCAGCAAAGAGAACAGTGAAGAAAAGAGAAGCAAAGCAGTGAGATAATCAAATATTATTTGAAATGTTCTTAGACTTGAAGTTAAAGGCTGCAGTGCTATACATGACCTCACCTTGCAGATATAGAGCTAAGAGGTTACACAATAGCAGTACTTAGTCACCCTCACAAACCAGGAAGTGCACTGCTTGGTTTGGAAGAGATTCCACACAAAGGCACATTTTCAGGGTATACCTAGGCACAATAACACTTTTGGTTTTCCCTATAACATTACAAATCTTTGTTTTTTGAGATTGAGGCCCACTTTAACTTTTAATCTAACCTTCTAACCCTTGATCCTTAGCCTATGTATGACTTACATCTTAAGCTTTATTGCATGTGCTATTCCCTAAAATAATTGTTATTTTTAGTCATGAGACTGTACTGTGAAATCTTATTGGGGCCATTGTTGAAAATGAGGGTAATTACAGAAAATATGAATATAGTTTAGAGAATTAAGCCTTTAACCCTTAACCCACTCACTCACTAGCAATTATTGATTAAGTGTGAATGAAATAACTAGTTCCCTAAGTGCAGCATTGGCAGATGCCATGGGTGGACTGGTGGCTAAGTGGTTAAAATTGTCACCTTGTATTTCCAGGTTCCTGTGCTTAATTTCCACTGAGGACACTTTCTGTAGAGAGTTTCTATGCTGCGCTGTGGTTCTGCCCCATTTGAAAATGCCTTGGTATTTACATTAAAAGATGAAGCAAGAGAAATACAAGCACTCCGCTCCATTAAAAGGGACAGGGTCTGTGTCCAAAATAATGTTCTATACTGTGCTAATCTTCATAAAGTTGGAACCAGGGGCGGACTGACAACTTGTGGGGCCCCCGGGCAATAGGGGATCATGGGGCCCCTGTGTCCTTGCCCAAACTCAAAAAAGCCTATGAAAAAGGTACCAGGGGCATCTCATGGGGCCCCCTACTGACCCCCCCCAGGCAATAGGGGATCATGGGGCCCCTGTGTCCTTGCCCAAACTCAAAAAAGCCTATGAAAAAGGTACCAGGGGCATCTCATGGGGCCCCCTACTGACCCCGGGCCCTCGGGCAGTGCCCAAGTTTCCAAATGGTCAGTCCGCCCCTGGTTGGAACGTTTATTGAAAGTTAAAGGAGAAGAGACATGTTTCAGGAATCTGCACCCCCATCATTAGGGCTAATAAAAACATATTTTTTTTTAAAATGAACATAAACATACAGTATAGTTTAAAAAATAGTAATAGTGTGCCAATACTCCTCAACAAAGATACAAAATTATAAAAAGATAACACAAAACAATGTGAAAATTAGTGCATCATTTAACGATAGTTAAATTGACAGCTGACTAACTTGATCTTAGTATGAATTTTCTGCTCTGCCATTCCCATACCTATGCCAAAAACAGAGGGGTTGAATGCAGGGCTAACAACAGACCCACTTGATTATTGACAACTGCTTCAAAAACAGCAAAATTGTTAGCCCTGCAGTTTAAGAAACAAATACTCACCATGTAGCAAACTCAAATGTAGCATTAATATCCTGCTAGCTTACACTTATAAAATGCTGTGTCAAAAAGCAGAACATTTTGTACTTTTCCTAAATGATGGCTATTAGCAAAACTTAAACAGTGCTGTGGAGTGGGGAAACAAGGTAATAAGGTACACCATGACATGAAAAATGCAGTATGATAACTGACAGAGATTTTGCCAGAAAAAAAGAACACATACAGTATGTGTAACTCTGCATGATCATATTCTTGGAAATGAAAGTGTTTTATAATTAAACATTTCTAGTGTTACCTTGGCAACCATGAAAAGAACTAAAAACCACCAGAACGCATTTACATAATTTTTGGCTTTGTGCGCCCCAGAAATGCCTTTTCATTCTTGTGTTGTACCTTCTGAAAGATGCTGCTGTGTATACCAAGTAACGGGATGGCAGTCTCATTATAACATTTAAATAATCATAATGGTGTGTTCGGCAAGCAATTTACAGCATTTCAGTTCGCTGCTTTCTGAATTAAGTTATAATGAGCTGTCTAGCCCACCGGGGGGAAGACGGCTCTAAATGCATAAGGGGCATAGACAAATGATGCGGTCCAGCTTCTGGTCAGCCTAAGAGCAAGCAATGTGCTCTCACTGTTCTGGCATTTTAACACATGTCTATACATCATTAATGGTTATATCTGGAGTTGTGTGGGGAAGAATATATGATTTGTATCTGTGTTTTAACAGATTGTTTTCATTAAAAAAAGTACTTCAAACCACTCATTTGTTAGGATGATGATATTTTGGAGTTTGTGCAGTTCCAAAATGCTAACAATATTTCACAGTTCAGCAAAATGCTTTGGAGAATATGGAAAAAAATTAAATGAAAGTGTTTTTTGACTGTGTTCAGGGTTACATGGCTCCTTGTGGTTAGGGAAATCCATCCATGTTTAATCCATCCTGGACCTGATTTCTTTAGGAAAAGCGTTATTTGTGCAATTTAAATCCATCTCAGATTGTGTCAACAAAGCCACTGGTCACCACTCACATGGTGACAGCATAGCTTTGTTTATAAACAAAACACACATAGTAATGGGAAACATTTTTTATAAACTTAATGCGGATCTTCACTCCTCTCAGTCAACTTTGACTATTTTATTCCTTATGCTGCTAGTAATTAGTAAATAGATAGGAAAATATTATATTTACTTGTTTTAACCACTTCTGTCCAGCCCATGTAGATAAACGGCCGGATGGGAGCACTGCCGATGCAGGTGGACATTTCTAAATGCATCCACCACCTGTGCGTACTCCTTGGGAGCGTGCGTCACTGCGGTCAGAGCCCGCTGTGTCCTCTGGACACAGCAGAACACAGACCACTATACGGGACCTCTGTGTGAGGTCCCGATTCATGTGATCACTGATTGGCCAATCAGTGATCACATGAATAGTAGTAAACAAGATGTCACATCCTGACATCATTGCTTACTACTTGTGAAATCTCTGAATGATCACAGAGCAGGGGCAGACTGACCATTTGGAAACTCGGGCACTGCCCGAGGGCCCCGGGTTAGTAGGGGGCCCCATGAGATGCCCCTGGTACCTTTTTCATAGGCTTTTTTGAGTTTGGGCAAGGACACAGGGGCCCCATGATCCCCTATTGCCCGGGGGCCCCATGAGTTGTCAGTCCGCCCCTGTCACAGAGGTAACATGGTACAAGGCTATTCACAACAGCCTTGTACCATGTGACAAGCTGTGACCAATCACAGCTCTCACAGTATTTCTCAATGGCTGCAGGAATGCAGCCAGAGAGAAGAAAAAATTATTCCTTTTACAGCCTTTATGGGTGTAAAAGCAATCAGTGTAAAAAAAGAAACAAAAAAATCTTCATCACACCCACAAGTAGTACAGTGTCACTATGGTGACTATGGTGACACTGTACTGCTAGGGTGACAGTATGTCAAAAAAAAAAAAAAAAAAAAACAAAAACATAAATAATAATATAAAAAAATAAAATAAAAATGTAAAAAAAACTTTGAAAAATTATAATTTTTGGTTATAAACTAATTTGGGTTTTTTTTTTTTACTAAAAATATAGATAAATACATTTTCCCCAAGATTTATGAAGAAAGATTATTTATTTGCAACATTTTAAAAGAAAAAACACTTTTTTAAAAAAATGTTTGGACTTATATAGCAAAAAAATAAAAATCCCAGTGGTGAATAAATACCACCAAAATAAAGTTGTATCTGTCTCAAAAACAAATGCTAAAAAATTCATATTGGTACAGTGTTGTATGACCGCGCAATTGTCATTCAAAGTGTGACAGCGCTGAAAGCTGAAAATTGGCCTGGACAGCAAGGGGGTAAAAGTGTCCGGACTTGAAGTGGTTAAACTTTTTTTTTTCAGTTACTTCCTGGTTTCTATACCTAGGCAAATGATGTCATACATTCCAGGAGTCTTCAGGAGGGGAGGAGGGGCTTTCCCAGCGAAGGCAAATGGATTGCAGATTCCTAAAAGTAAATTAATCTGCCCTTACTCAAGATGGCCACAGCCAGAAATGCTAGAGGGGTGTTTTTCAAAGTGATAAAAAAGCATGAAGACATGGATGAATGGGGGAGTTTGCTTTGAATATTAAAAATGAATTAAATAGTCATCTTTGTTTATGATGCTTAGATGCAGTGTAGTGCCTCTTTAATTTAGCCTAGCGATAGAAAAACTAGAGGCTAGTTTTGATCAAATTTTGACAGGGAAAATATTGTTTTCACACGTTTTGTGAACTCATCCCTACTCATTTAAGAAATTCTCATCAAGAAACAAGCTGCTCACATAAATAAAAATGTTTTCAATTAGCACTTACAGATTCTGGGCTTGTAGGCAGATGCAGTCTGCTTTCTCCACTGCAGGTGGCGATCAAACAAGTAGTACCACATCCTGGAGAGGAAGTCAAGGGAAACCTAGTTTCTCTGTGGTTTCTTGGGTCATGGAGCAGCGTGCTGGTTGGCTATAAGCATCAATGTGACCCCTGGCAGCCATTTTGGCTCAACATTTTCTTTGTAAGTCCCTGCTCCCGGGTTTGCGCACATTTTGCCAAGTAGATAAAGTAGGGAGAGAGACCTCATCTGACAGGGAAAGTGAATAGCGGCAGAGAAAGGTTCCTGATGAGTAGGGACAGGCTAGGGATTTGCTGTCTTCAAGGAAGCCTCCCCTTTTTGAGACCAGACCAGCCAGGCTGCACTTCACCCTCTGAAAGAGATGCCATTGGTGCATCTATTCCTGCTGCATCTCTACATTTGAACTGGACTATGAGCATTTTCCCAAGCTGTGCTCTCCCCCTAGGGTGCTTGTAGTTGGCATTCTCTTCAATACAAGTTCCAAGTTTTATTGCAACCGGACTCTGTCTTTACTGCAACTGCACTTCTCCACAGGCTTTGTTGATAACAGCGATTGTAGTTTTTTTCAGCCTTCGACACTTCCAAACAGCTTACACTGCTCCCTCTCTCACCCTTTCTGGCCCACCAGGGTGTCCATCTGTTGCCTTTAAAGCCCCCAGTGGGTGTACCAGCATAGAACAAGCTGTGTTTTCTCTGCCTGTGCTGAGCATTAGAATACGCCGGCAGTGATGGGACAAGGTCCTTTGGCTTCCAAGGCAACAATTTCAAAGTATCCCGCCGCCCCCCCCCTCCCCCAGTTCCTTGATTTTGCACTACAAAACACATTTCTAATGGTAGCTAAGGCCATGAAATGAAGGAGTTAATGATAAGGGTCAACTTTAAATTTTAGGGTTAACTACAATGTTTCTCTGCAATTTGTCCCTTTTATAAAGGCACTAAGAAAATGATAAAGCCTAGTACTCACTATGAGAAAATCAGACAAACGATTGTCTGCTTTTCCACAAAGGTGTGTATCATGATGTGAAGGAGAACAACAAAAGAGAAGCGCACCAACCTTGCGCATTACCTCAGTATCCAAAAATTTATTGAATAAAAGAATGGTACTCACAAACAGCGAATAAAAACAAGCATGTAAGTCCTCAAGGGGACTTTAGAGGCAAATGCCAATGCCGAATCCCATCATGCGAAGCCCATCATGGAGGAAGCTTCTTCCTCAGTACATCTGACGCATTTCGAAGGACATGCCTTCATCTTCCTCAAGCTTGCTTGTTTTTATTCGCTGTTTGTGAGTACCATTCTTTTATTCAATAAATTTTTGGTTACTGAGGTAATGCGCAAGGTTGGTGCGCTTCTCTTTTGTTGTTCTCCTTCACAGTTTTGTTTGGGCTTCCCCAGCCTTGGTGTGGAGCTGCACCACCTTGTCTATTCCGGTGGTCCCTTCCTTTTTGGAGTTTGATTCCATCTACTCACCACCGGCCTGGGTCCCGGAGGGCAGGAGATATTGCATGTGTATCATGATGTAACAGAGAATGATATTAAAGTGGTTTTAAAGGCTCAAGGTTTATTACCTTCATGTATTCTATGCATGAAGGTAAAAAACCTGCGTGCTGCATCACCCCCAACCCCTCTAATACTCACCTAAGCCCCCTCTCGATCCAGCGATGTGCACTGGAGTCTCAGCTATCCGGAACGCCCTCTTCTCATTGGCTGAGACAGAAGTGGGAGCCATTGGCTCCTACTGCTGTCAATCACAGTATGTGAGCCAATAAGAAAAAAAAGGGGGCTGGGCCGAGCCACGGCTCCATATGCGAATAGACACATGGAGCACCGGATGCCATTTTATAGCAAGGAGGGAGGGGATATAAGAGCCTGCGGGGGACCCCAGAAGAGCAGGATCCAGGCTATTCTGTGAAAAACCACAGCACACAGCTAGCCTACAGGGCACTTATACCCCCTTCCTGCCCAGGCCAATTTCCAGCTTTCAGCGCTGTTGCACTTTGAATGAGAATTGCGCAGTCATGCAACATTGTACCCATATGAAATTTGTACCTTTTTTTTGTGACAGATAGAACTTTCTTTTGGTGGTATTTAATCACCTCTGGGTTTTTTATTTTTTCTTAAACAAACCAAAAACCACTGAAAATTTTGTTCTCTTAGTTTTTGTTATAAAATTTTGTAAATAAGTGATTTTGACTGGCACTGTTAGGCGGCACTGACTGGCACTGATAAGCGGCACTGACTGGCACTGATAGGTGGCACTGATTGGCAGCACTGATAGGTGGCACTGATTGGCATTGATAGGTGGCACTGACTGGCACTGATGAGTGACACTGAAAGGCAGCTCAAATGGGCACTGATATGTGGCATTGATGTGCACTGGTAGGCACTGATATGTGGCATTGATGTGGCAATGATGGGCACTGGCACGAGGCACTGATGAGTACTGACAGAAGGCACTGATGGACACTGACAGGTGGCACTGCTGGGGCTACACAGATCATCAGGGCACACTGATCATCAGTGCCCTGATGATCAGTGTACATGTCCCCTCCGCGGAAAGCCGATTACCGGCTCTCCTCTCCTCACAAGCTGTCAGCGTGACAGCTCAAGAGGAAGAGAAATGCCGATAACCGGCATTTCCCTGTTTACATGTGATCAGCTGTGATTGGACACAGCTGATCACATGACCGAGCCAACATCTTTGGCTCTTTCCGTGATCGGTGATCCGCTGTGTCCGAGGGACACAGCGCACTGCCAAACGCTGCACTGCACGCTCCCTGAGCCGCGCATGCGCGGTGAGAATGGGAGGACGTCATATGACGTCCTCCCAGAACGAGAGAACCACCTTGCATCCATCATATTACTATATGGCGGGCGGGAGGTGGTTAAAAAAGCCTTTAGAATCACTTTAACTTCTACAAAAATTCTTGGACAAAGGCAAACGTAGCTACATACTAATGTAGCGTGATTATTGTCGCAGAAAAAAATATGCTACTGTTCACCATTTGTAGCTCTTTATTAATCCAGAATATGAAAGTTCTTTCTTGTGTACAATTTGTATTTTTGTTGCCCTCTTCTTCCGGGTCGTTCTTTGTTTCCGAACATGCGTGGCATTTTCTATCTGGTTATTTCTGTACGATTACTTTACACATTGAACGAAAATCAGACATTATGTTAACGGACGAGAACATTTTCTAGCTTGCACCTTCATCCTGTTTCATCCGAACAGTTGCTATCAGCTGTTGAATGCACTATATTAAAAAACAGATTATAGACCGATCGTTCCTCTTTCAGAAATTTGAGTCCAATTTTCTTATTGCGTGTGTGGGCCTTTAGGGAAGAAGGGAAGAAAAGAGAAAGCAGCCATCCCTGTGTAATCATCAGTGCTCTAAGGTCGCCCGGCGCTGTGCTCTGTTGATCAGGAGCATACAGGGCTCCTGATACAGTGTGGGCAGCTGTCATGACAGCGGAGTGATATGCCATTGTTATACAGGGAGAGCCACGATCTCTCAATATAATCTGCAGGACTAATCTGTCAGTTTGACAAGAGATGGCCAGTTGATGCAGAGGCAGGAGAGGCCTCTGATGTGGCCCCCATGTCACAGCATGCATGGGGGGTGCCTCTTCTGTTTATGCCTCAGCTAGGCTCTACTCACTGCTGTCACTCATAATAAGTAGGTGCTCTCTTACACACAACCTTAGGTGTTGGATGCAGTGTTAATTTTGACAACAAATTTCCAATTAATTTTAGTCATAGTCTTTTGACTAAGATGCCATTTTAGTTTTAGTCGTAATTTAGTCTTTTGACTAAGATGCCATTTTAGTTTTAGTCGTAATTTAGTCTTTTGACTAAGATGCCATTTTAGTTTTAGTCGTAATTTAGTCTTTTGACTAAGATGCCATTTTAGTTTTAGTCGTATTTTAGTCTTTTGACTATGATGCCATTTTAGTTTTAGTCGTATTTTAGTAATCTGAATTGTTTTAGTTGTAGTCGTATTGTAGTCGACTAAAATTAACAGTACATTTTAGGCAACTAAAATTTCTTACATTTTAGTTGACTAAAATCGAATGGGTTTAGTTAAATTGTAATGCATTATGTAGGCATTTCTCTAGAAATGCCAAACTCATTACTGTATATGCTCTTTGAGTAAAAAAATCTAATAACATGTTATTATTTATGATATTAAGGTTTGAACATGTACTACAGACAGAGATTTAGCCGAAACAAAAATATTGCAAAACAAACAAAAGATTTCCCAGCAACACTTACCAGCCAGCTTGCGAAAAACAACCAATTTGGCCCTGTCTAACAGTTTGCATTAAAAACAGAGGGTTTTGTTTGCACATATTTGCAAATACATGCGTAAGCCACAGTCCCTTCTATATACTGAGGACCTAGCTAAAATTTCGAAAGCTTCCATAGTAGGAGCACATGTATAAATGGATAGGTTAAGGGCAGGTGTGCCTGGAGGAGCCCATCCCTCCATAAAGGTACAGGGACGACGTGATGCCCAGCTATACCAAAACGACAGCAAAGTCATCCAGTGTGTCCAATTTAGCCAACTACAAAAAAAAAATGGCAACCAATCCCAACCTATAACCAGCCCAGGGGCAGACTGACCATTTGGAAACTCGGGCACCGCCCGAGGGCCCTGGGTCAGTAGGGGGCCCCATGAAATGCCCTTGGTACCTTTTTCATAGGCTTTTTTGAGTTTGGGCAAGGACACAGGGTCCCCATGATCCCCTATTGCCCGGGGGCCCCATGAGTTGTCAGTCCGCCCCTGAACCAGCCTTAGCAGCAAGGTGCACATGGAAGGGCAATGCACATTGCAAAATAAACAAAAGTCTCCCAGCAACACTTTTTTGTTGCCGAAACAAAAACATTGCTTTTTGAAAAACAGAAGTGCAACTTTAAAATATAATAAAATCAAAAAAACTGTAAATTCTATTGTTGTAATGTCATTGCACATATTACCTGAATATATTATCAACAATATTAATAGTCTTTTGACTAAAATGCCATTTTAGTTTTAGTCATATTTTAGTCATCTGAATTGTTTTAGTTTGAGTCCTCATGCACACTTGACGTTATTACAGAGGCTGTTTTTGACTTTTGACATTTTTTTCTACAGCTAGTAAACCCCCCAGCATGTCCATGCACACATAGAGTGTAATAACATTTTTTGGCAGGGACGTTTTTTGGCTGGAAAAGAAACCCAGGACTAGTGGGTTTCTAGAGGAGTTTTTTAACCTCCCTAGCGGTCTGATTGTGTCCATATTTCTGTGCTCAAAGCGGTACATTTTTTTGCATGGAAATATGTATTTTTTTTATTGTAGGCCTGTAATTTTTAGGAATAACTCACTGAAATCTGTCCGAACAAGAGTCTAGTAAACATCCCGGGTATGTTAAAATTTGAAACACGAAATCATAAATTATATTTTAATAAATAATCATAAAAAATAATAATATAATAATAATAAATTTAATTCAATAATATAATCAAACCAAAAACACTGAAATTTGAAATATAGCACCAAGTTCGCCCATCACTGAGCAAAAGTCGCAAAATCGCTTTCTGGGTCTGATGACAAATTTCCCCACGAATCATTATTACGCAATTCTGCAAGTGGTTCTGATTTACTATCGCTGTTCTCTAGCTGGTCTAAAACTGATTTTGACCTAAAGGGACACTTTTTGGATGCCATGGACGTATCCCAGTTTCCAGGCAGAAAGAACAGTAAAAATGTAGGCAGGGCACAGGACAAAGCACTAGGGACAAAATGTATGTGAAATGGTTTGATACAGTAATGTTTTACCATGTGATTTTAGTGTATTTAGTGAATGTCACTTTTTGTCATTTTCAAACTTCCCGCTGTTCCGTCCCCGTACGTCCCGACGTCGCAGGGGACGGAACCCAGAAGACAGATGTCGGCATCCGCTGGAGAACATTACAGGGGACACTGCAGGGGGGACATCGTGGGAGCGCAGGACAAGGTATGAGTAGAACAGATCCCAGAGCAGGGTTACCACTTGTGGTACTGAAACTTTACCCTGAGCTACACTCGGGAATACCGCCGGGGAGGTTAATTGTAAAAACACCCTAACACTGTAAAATGCGGCAAAATGCCACAAACCAGCGTTTTTGGATGTTTTTTTAACCCAAAACAAATTTTTTTTTTGGTCAAAAAACCCGCTAAAAACCACATGGCAAAACGGCACTAAATGCTAATACAAAAACGCTACAAAAAGCTGAAAAACACACATTTTCAACGTGACTTTACACAGCTAACATTACTAGTGTTATTAAATCTTCCAGTGTGCATGAGGACTTAGTCATATTTTAGTTGAAAAATAGTGTTAATTTAGCCGAAGAAAATAACTTCTTGAAAAAAGCCACACTGGTAGGAAGCCACACAGACAGCAGCCAGACACCTTGGTGATGTTAGGGTCAGTAACAGACCTGCTACAGAAAGTTCCTATCAATCCTTTAACAAGTCAGAGGGTGAAGAAAACTACAAACCTATTATTGGCAAAAAAAACATCATAAATTGCTATAGCAAGGGATGTATCTGTAAAGACTAATTTCAAACATGTTATGCATGTGAGCATAAAAAGAGTTACTTGATGACTGTGTCTCTTTATGATTTCTCTGTCACTTTAAGGAAACATAAAGCTGCTAATACCTGAAGGTGCACGTACGTACTGTACTTGCAGAAGTTTTAATTGCTACTTGTACATCTGATCACCAGGTCATTCTGAATGGGCAGCGATTCAAAACGTCTGGATAGTACCAATGCTTGCTGTCCCTTTCCCATCCACTTCCTATGCTCATCAGCATATTGGACTTCCTCACCGGCCAGTATGAGGTGTGGGCAGGGGCGGACTGACCATTTGGAAACTCGGGCACTGCCCGAGGGCCCGGAGTCAGTAGGGGGCCCCATGAGATGCCCCTGGTACCTTTTTCATAGGCTTTTTTGAGTTTGGGCAAGGACACAGGGGCCCCATGATCCCCTATTGCCCGGGGGCCCCGTGAGTTGTCAGTCCGCCCCTGGGTGTGGGAGTTCTTTTTATTCAATTTTGAGAACCTAAAGTTAAGTTCTTTCAAATCATCACATCATGCAAGGCACTGCAGCTCTCTAGTCTGGCTTCCATTTTTGCATGTGTGCTGGTGAACAGAAGTGAGCATTGACCTATGGAAGCTGATCTGTGTGCAATCTTGCATTAGGTGACTGTATTGGAGAACAGGACCACAATGATCGCAGTCAAGCTTCCATACAAATACGATGTGCGTTAGAAAATGAGTTAGTTCTGCAGTAGAAGCACTCATCCAAATGTGACAATCCTGATCCTGCATAGATTTAGAACCCATTCCCACTTAGGCATTGCAGCAATGTACAGTATGTACAGCAGAGCAAGTGCATTGCCCCGTATTGTATCGATGTTTTGGGGTGCACTATTTTGGGGTTTACATACTCTGTAATCAATGCAAGCATCCTTGTTTTTGTAATGCATCAAGTGTTATAAATCATATAATCTCTTCTTTTGAACCTAAAGTGTTTAAACAAAAATGTGATAAGAAATCCTATAAAGTATAATTCATTGACTAAATTAGAAAATAACATTATAGGAGTGTAGTCTGGACATCATGAACATGTTATGGTTCACATCATGACACTTGTTATAATATGGATTACCATAATTATTATTATTAATATTATACAGGACTTATATAGCGCCGACAGGGAGACAGTACAGTAACAATACAGTTCAATACACGAGCGATTAGAGGGCCCTGCTCCTTGGAGCTTACAATCTAGGAGGGAGGGGATAGTGGTACAAAAGGTAATTAGCTGTGGGGGATGGAATGGTAGGAAGAGTAGAGTATTCCAGTATTAACTGGGGTCGGGGTAGGCTTCCCTGAAGAGATAGGTTTTCAGAGTGCGCCTAAAAATGAGCAGAGTAGGTGATAGCCTGATAGATTGGGGTAGGGAGTTCCAGAGGATGGGTGAAGCCCTTGAGAAATCCTGGAGATGAGCATGGGAGGAGGAGACAAGGGAGCTAGAGAGTAGGAGGTCTTGCGAGGAGTGGAAGAGTACGGTTTGGGTGGTATTTAGAATGCATAAATAAATAATTAAATGCATAATTCAGGGTAACGCACTGTAGATGTGCATTGTTATATGTTTCCTTTCCAAGTGATTTGCACCTCATCTCACATCTACATTGCCCAACAAAAATGTAGTGTTTAAGCTTATTTTGCGTTGCTCTGCCCTGGACTCAAATTGTCTAGGATTTACTTGTATGCCCCGATATGCACCAGCAGCTCATTTAAAATTATGGGTTGACTAATGTAAGGTGCCTCAACGTGATTTGTAGCACACTGCATTATGGTGTGAATAAGCCCTAGAGGTTGTACCACAGCAACAGAAAAGTGTCTGGCAATTATGAATGTTGCCACCAATGTACTCCCTAGAGCCTGTACATTAGCTGAAAGGAATTTGCTGTAAAATGTAGAGATCAATTTATTGATTAAACAAACCACCCCTTCCCCCATTTAGAAGTTAATTGCTATAAACTGCTAAAAGACATTTAATTACCAATTCAGTCCTGTGAAGCCTGTTTGTAGTCTCCCAACCTCACTCTCTGACTATGAGAAAACTAATCAGGAATCCTATTTAAATGGTTAACCAATGGAGGGATTCCCCATTCCTTGACAATTAATGCAATGCAATTAACCCAATAAGGAGATAGCTTAGTTCCTTACTGGGTAAGTAGTACAATTACATCCAGGAGATTGGTTCATTATGTACTGCAAATAAGTAGTAAGCAACTACATAATTTACTCAAGACAGAAGTATCCTTATGGCCAAACTCTTGTCAGCTATTAGATAGTTCCATGTTGGTACCTCCAACGTATTTGAAGGATTTAATGCTTGTTTAATCTAGGGGGCATGCAATAGAGAGAGTCTTGCAGACTCCCTCCCTTTCTGGTATGGGCGAATGAACAAAGGAAGCCATTCCTCTTTTTTAGTTGTGTTGCTGTCCCCTTGCCAACACTATCATGTACAAAACAGGACCAGAGCCACCCCAAATCCTGCTTTGCACTTGAATACGTTGAGGGCTTGCCTACATTCTGTGTCTGGAATGGGAATGGAGGAATAAGGCAAGCATTCCTCTGCATTACACCCCCCCCCCCCCACAGACTAAACATACATTAGATCAAAGATGTGTTTCATTTAATTTTGATTATTTTTTTTAGACGAAAATGTAATTTTCAAAGATTCAGATGTATACGAATCTCCGAATGGACATAGTAACAAATGTCACTGAATCTGAAAAAAAGTTATATCAGAATTAACAAATGCATTTATTTTATTTGGATGACATCATGTGATGCAATAGTAGTTAGGGCCAATGGGGAAAATGAATAAAATTTTCGATTTCCTTCGATAATTCGGATAACGAATGGATCCAAATTTCATTTGATTCGTTAATTTGAATGCACATGACACCAGTTGATATTGTCTAATCAGCTCATGCCATTTCTCCTGGTGGGTTGGACTAGTGTCCAAAGATATGGAATCTTTCTGATTCAAATACATCTGATTCAATAATATGTACGCTCCTTGAGGGTTAGGGACTGATGTGAATGTACAAGATATATGTAAAGTGCTGCGTAAAATGACAACGCTATACAAGCACCTGTAATAAAATAAAAATAAAATATATAGCAAAATTTTTCTAATCTGCCTGGACTAACGAATATGTGGTTTGAATGGTGAACCAAATTCCGAAAACGAATCGGTTCAACATAAGGAATATGACAAAACAAACTTCATCAATGAACAAATGCATCCGAAATGAAAC